TCTCCTACAGAATGTAAGGATTCCCCACTGTACGTCTGGAACCATGACAAGATCAAGGAAAAATGTATTTGCAGTCTGGATCTAGACAGAAACTGCCATTTGGTAGTCCTTGAATGACCCTGTCCTGGGATCCTACAGCTGTAGGTAAAAACCATCAATTTACAACCTTCTCCTTTTCAGAAGCTGCTCATCTGGGGACAGAAATGTTCACCTCAGATGCTTTTGATAGAGCAGATAAAATTTAGGTCAATTATATTTGACAGTAAGTTATGGGGAGAGACTTTTCCATTCTGGCTTCAAATGCATGAAGGATTTTATTCTAAATGTCTTTTGGTATGTATAGTGATTATTAAATCCTACAAGAAAATTAAATTCATGTAAATAAAGCATTGAAACAATGAAAATGTAATCATTCACTAAGACACTACAGAAATCTCTGCATATCTGTCCAGATAGGTCACTATCATGCAAAATATCCAACAGCTGCCTTTCATTTGCTGGCAGTATCACTAAAGGATGTAAGACTCTAGTGATTAACTCAGTCTCAAATGATTTCACAAACATGGCAGTTTGGATCTTAAATAATTTAGTAAATACAAATATGATTTTATTGATTCTATCAACATAATGAACTGCAGTTTAACGTTCTTTATTGCTTACAGACAAACGGTACTATTCATTCACCAGATATATGATGGAGACTTGAAAAGCAATGAAATAACTACTTCCCTTTCTCTAAAACAATTAAAAATATTAATTGTAAAAAGCAAGTATATATTTTTAATTTTTTTTTCTAGTAGAGAATAGATAATTTTCATGCATCTAGGAAAAAAGATAGATATTGTATGGTTTAAATTTCATATTTCTAGAGGAAAACTAGATTACTAAATATTTCAGCGCTATTTATTCTTAGTAGTCAGTTTGTGTTTCTTTAAACCCAGACAGAAAAGCAGGCATCCTTCATTTGTGATAGCTGTTAGGAACTAGTAAATTCACTGACTTATTTTCATAACTGATAGCAGAAAAATGGTCTCACCCTACACAGAGGCACACACAACTAACAATCAGTTAAGGGATTTCCCTGGCTACTTTTTCGAGAAAAGGCCCTATGTATCTCTGCTCTACTTGCAAGTGCCAGCAACTCTTTCTAAGAAAACTAAAGATGCTACAACCTCAGGTTCCCACCCCAGCTTTCTACTGAAGGTTAATACCCTGTTAGTAGGAGCAGCAGAACAGCTGCTCAGCCCTGATAGCTTACAGCCTGTGAGTGAGCAGAAACCTCTTTGATTCGGGTTCCTGTTTCTCCACAGGGCTGCAGAGCAGTTGCATTGCCAGAGCTGCTACCTCTACATGGGAGCAGCCATCTGACAGGGCTCTGCATGGTACCTGGTGTATTACCTGGACTCAAACCATCATCCGGGGCACCAAGGAAAGGAAACAGCCAAAAGACTGAAAACTGAAAGAAATGTTTCATCAAGTATGGAAACACATGTAGCATAGCCCAAAGAGAAAGTTATTGGTCTAAAAAATGAACCAAAAGGCTTTTGGAAGTGCTATCAGAGAAGAATTTATTTCTCTTGTTAATTCTTCTTTTGTTCAAGAAGGCAAGATTTTCCACATAGGCATAATTGCTTAATCCCCAGTTTATTCATCTGGAAAAGGCAATCAAAATACCCCTCCAGGGTCCAAATTTTGGCTAAGCATTCAGGTTTAAAGAATTATCATATTATTTGCTTGACATAGACTTATCTTTTTCTTCTGGTACATAAAACTTTGGCATAAACATTGTATTTGAAAATAGCTAAACTAACTTTAGAAATCTGTAAAGTAAATTAAGATCTTGAAGCTGAACAAAGAAATGTAATGGCTACGTATTTTGGTTTAGAACTGCTTTCTTTGAGCCTTGTCACTTTTTTTTTTTTTTTTTTTTTTTTTTTTTTTTTTTTAAATTATTTATGCATCTACTATATGTGAACAAATACATGATTCAGGAGCTTCACTTAATGTATAAAGCATTCAGGGTCTATTTAATGTTATAGAAAAAAGCAGGCTGGAGCTACAGTAGGTAGAAGTGGTTTGGAAATTGTATGGAATATTAAGTTAAAAAACCAACAGCAAATCTTAGAAAAAATATATATTACCCTAAAAGAACATTGCCAGTAACATTCCTGAGTATCCATTTGATGATAACTTTGGGCTGTTGCAAAATACAGTCTGATGTATTAGGAAAGACTAAACTTCGTGCTGGTTGTGCTTAATATACTGTGCTGCAATCTGTTATAGTTCAGGTCCTTCACAAGGAGCTATGCTTTTCTTCCAGTGGGAGCACCAGCTCCTGAAAGAGGGGTGATAAGCACCCAAGGAAAGCCATCTTCTGGCTACAGTGCTTCACTGAATAAAACCCACCGCTGCAAAAAAAGAGTGTTGGGTGCTTAGTCTATCTGATGTATGTAATCTCAGGTATTTCAGTTGTCTGATAATGAGAGGAAGGACAGAAGGAACTGGGCATATCTATGGCATCTATCTGCCATTGCCACCTTCATCTCTTACATCAACAGCAGTTCTATTGTGTTTTTTTCTCATCTTTAAGCATGAGGAAAGAGTTTATTTCTAAATATGCTTCCTAGACATCAATCTGCTTAGAAAACTATTTTCAAATCTAATTCTAATTACTCTGTAATTAAAATATTACTTTGTTTAAAAAGTTAAATAATATGAACTTTAGGATATACTCATGATTTTTTGTGTAACTTTCAGTTAAAAAAGAACCTAATTCAGATTTCCTTGACTGACTCTTTAAGTAGTTCTTTCCAAGTGATTTTCAATGTGTGTATAACAGTTAAATAGAGGTAAAATAATCTCTTTACATATAGATATTAAAATATATGTTTAAAACTCAAGGAAAGCATCACTCTGCCTCTGCACAGCTAAATACATTTTTTCAGACAAGAAAGGCTGATGTCTGAAGTTGAAAAAACAGCATTAGAGAAATTCAGGCCAGGAAGAATGGATCTAATCTAAAGCCCCCTGGAATCAATGAGAAGCTCTGCTTTAACTCCTCTAGGCTTTGGCTCCATCCCCAAGTAATTATTCAGGTTGGAGTTTGGCCATTGATACTAACACCATCTGCTTACAGGAAAGTACCATTAAATCTTTAATTAACACAAATTGTGAAGGTGACAGTTCTGTCTTATCAAAAAAGTGGCACCTTTGAGAGAGTGCACTGTTGATGTGTACCTTGCTGAGGACCTCATTCCTTGCCATCTCACCGGGAAGCGTGTCATCTATATTGCATTGCCAGCACTACCTTTTCCAAATATGGCCAAGTTTCAAAACCATTGATTTTCCGATTGAAGTTCATATGCAAGTTTATGAATCAGGTTTTATTTTTATTGATGATATTGGACAAAAATAATAAATATACAGCAAATACATGAAAATAGAGATGTAAGGGGGTTTTGTTTGCTAAAATCAAATTTTAAAAGAACAAAGTAAAACACATAAAAGTGAAAAAAAGAATATTATGTGTGTAAAATGCTTACCTAGAGAGCAGGATAGTCTTATGGTTCAAGATTGGATTTATCACTGGTTTTTTATTTTCACCTTTTCACAAAATCACTGAGGTAAATCTTCCTCAGTTTCCCCATCGGTGAAATGGTAATAATTCCAATTCATCTGGAAAGAATTTGACATCCTAAAATGCTGCTTTGAGGTATTCAAATGTGTGGCAGTATATCAAGCCACAAAGACTAGGCATTACTGCATACCATCTTATAGCCTGGATAGTCCCACATGCTGTGCCAAGGCCATTGCTTTTGTGCACACCATTACCATTAACCATCAGTTTTGCAGCACAGGCCACTTCATTGAGAGTGAATAATTCATAGTCCCTTTTGTACCTATAACTTACACTTTCAAGTCAAAACCAAAAAAAATGTGTCTGTCACCAGAAAATCAGTGCATCTGCAGGACTTAAATATTGTTTCCTCATTGTAGCGATTAATGAAGTGCCGTCCCGGATCCTGCACAGCACTTAAGGGCATGTTTAAGAATCTGAGTAGACTGATGGATTTCCATGGGAATCCTGATGTGCTTAAAGTATGTGTTGTTGGAATGAAGTCATATCCTTGTGGGGTCACGCTATTTTTGTTTGTGAAAGTGAAGGAACACTCTCAGATGTTACTCCTTCTACAGGGAATCTCCTGGTTGTTCAGGACTGGAATCCTCAAACATCTTGCCCTCCTGATTTCTCAGCCCAGACTCATATATGTGGCCTGTCTTCAATATACAGGATCAAGATCTGCAGTGGTGTTTTAACATTAATTGTTTTCCTGTTCTGAGCTAAAAATAAATTCAAAACATCATGACTCTAAACAACTGATTTCAGTAGCACTGATTTTCTTTTTTTTTTTTCCCCACTGATTGTGCTTAGCAACTCTTATGTATGTAGATATGAAAATCATTAAATAATTCTCTGCCAAAAAAAAACAAAACAAAATTTAAGGCAAAGAGCTCCCTTGACTCAAGTCCCCTAGGCTACTTAAAAGGTAACACCTCATGGCGGAAGGGCACAAACTCTATCCTTCCAGGGTTCTGCATTGCTGTCTTAGGTGAGCACCTGTTGATCACAACACTGACCAAATTTTCCACCTCCATCTGCCATCTCTGTGGAATTCCTTGGCAACCTCCCAGAGACAGCTTGAGTCAGAGGTGACACGTGCAGCTGCACAGACTTTTGCCCTCAGAAGGAATGTGCTGTGTTCACCTCTTGGTAGGCAGGATGCTGTCCTGACATAGGTCTGCTGGTGCCTACTCTTCCATCTGTCTGAAAGTTTCACACTGCTTCTCTATTAGAATTTACCAAATGCACTAACTGCGTAAGAACCATAGTACTTAACTACTGTGTATGTTTAAAAGGAATACAGTGTACAAAAGTGCACTTTCTTGATACAGAAATGCTTAAGATTGTTGTAACTTACCACATTTTTATTGTTTTGCAGTTTTACTAAAGAATGCAAAAAAGGAAGAAGAAAAGCCTTTCAGAGACTGTGCAGATGTATACCAATCTGGTTTTAACAAAAGTGGGGTCTACACTATTTATATTAACAATGTGTCAGATCCTAAAAAGGTAAATACTTGTTTTATTTTCTTGTTTTTTGATATGATGTTGCTCTGGCTTTAAAGGAGCATTCAGAGCCTTTACTGAAGTTCTCATTCTGCAAAGGGTTGTACTGGTACGAATAACCTGGGCTATGTTTAGTCTTGGAAAAAAATAAATAGAATGAAGAAAGTGACAAACTGTATTATTGCAGACATTCTACTTTCTCGCTGACAGAGTCCTTCCTAAGATCCAACATACACTAAATAGTTGACTCAAATCCTCCTACTTGGCAAGTTCAGTTGAATCAGACTATGGGTGCAAATAAATCTGCAATGAAGTTTAGAAGAGAATTAGTAAAGTACTATAATGAGGAAGCTGGTAGAGCGATTATCTGGTAGCACAGGGAAAGAAATATCAGAATGAGTAGTTTTTAAAGATAAAGGTTTACAAAAATTCCACTTTTGTAGGGAAAAGGGAAGAATGTTTTTTGCTGTAAAGAACCAACATATTAGCAATGAATATTAGCAATGTTTGAAGTGATGAAGCATGTATAATCCTGTACTTGCAAAAATATCATTAGAAGAGGGTTTTTTTGATGAAAATGAAACATTAGCCTGTAAAGAAGACTCTTTTTGGAAGACTTTTGTTGCTAAGGTACCTGAGACAGTTGAAGCTAGGAGCGTGAGAGAATAACCTAAGCCTAACTTACACATGGAGGAATGATAGCTCTTCCTCTGACAGGGCACTATTGGGAGCAGCCCCAAACAAAGCTAAGGGCTGATTACCTGGGAGAAAAAAATACACTGTGGGACAAACAAGAGGGAGGGAACCACATCTGTCTAGTGAATTTATTCTGACTGCATTAAAATGGTGACCCTGAAAACAGGAAAACACAGAAACAAACATTACTGATGTTATATTCTATAGTCATTTTATGATGATATTAAGATATGTAAAACTTATTTCTAAACTGAATTTGGTTTTATTAGAGGTATCTGGAAGCCTGTAAATGTCAAGATATTATGGTTTATTGAGGGATAAGAGTTCATTAAACCATGAGTAAAATTGAGGTGAGGGAATGCTATGGGCAAAGACCAATATAACTGGTGAATGTGAATAGAAAAATAATTGGCATGACATAAAATAAAGAAATCCCTTTAAACATTACTGAACAGGACGAGAACAATAAAAGCAGTTCTGCAGAAGCACTCAAAACAGAGATACATCATCGACGTCCAAATAGCATGTACATAGAGGGAGTGGCTTTTCTTAGCCTTATTAAAGTTCATGAACCATCCCCAGAAGCTAGGTTGAAATGAAAAACAACATTTCTCTGAAATTAACGTGGCACTAATGTATCTGGTATATTTACCTTAAACCCACTTCACGGGTAATATAAGGACAGTGACACTATGGACACCCTGTATTTGTGCTGTATCCCTGTTTGCAGACACTGCTATCAATCCATACAGGCAGCACAACTCAGCTGACATCATTGTATTATTTTTTTCCTGGAAGCTTCCTGTTTTAGAAAGAAAACACATGTGTGTGTTGAGGGCGTTTCTGCTACCACCTGTTTCTGTCTTGCTCTAGTGATAACAGAGCAAGAGCTGATCCCAGCCATGTTCATGTTAGTCAAGTGAGGAGTGTGATTGCTTTAACAGATGTTTTTTAGACATTAAGGTCGTATTAACAGTCTGCAAGCTAGTGCTGTGCAGAGATAGCTGAACTATCACATCACATCAATGCAGCACTGTGCCAGGACTAATTAGCCCAGAGGTAGCATCACACTGACACAGTTAGATAGCTCTGGGACCCAAGTTAATATCCTGATAGGTACTCAATAGAGACATACCTGCTTGTTTAAAGCCAGCTTAGTTATCTGGATACCACAAAACAAGACTCTGACATGTCTTAAGAGGCCCAATATATTGTATCTCCTGTAATACAGCCACTGGCAACTGTCTTATTTATAGTAATTTTATACTTCAACTCACAAAAATATATCTTCATTTAATTTTATTTTTCCTAAGGGATACTTACTAGAATCCTGAAATTCAGTAGAAAATATCCTTTTGTCATATTTACAAATGTTACTGTCAGTTCTAGTTCTTTGCTGCTTTTACCTTCATATATTCATAGAAAATTATCCTCCATGCTTACAGCTCCATACCATTTATGTGCCTCATTTTTATATGCTTACAAATTTAGATGGCAATTTTTCTTTCATGTTCCTAGCTTCAACGGTTTGTTTAGTTCATTAGTCTTCCAGCCCTGCATCAAAAATTAGTGACTCATTTTAGTTTAAAAGGATCTTAATTAATAATATTCCATATTTTTAAGATGGGAAAAGAAAAAAAAATAGGCTTAAATATTAAGCTAATTAATTGTCTTACTTTGATGTGTGTGTGTGTGTGTGTGTGTGTGTGTGTGTGCAATGTCTGGATGTGTTGATAAATGATTGTCCCTAGGCCATAGTGAATCAAAGGTGAGAAGAGTCCTCTTAATCCCCTGCAGAGGTGAGGTCAGCTACAGGGGAAGCAGAGGCTGCTGAGAAGCAGAGGAGCAGCAGGAGTGAGGTTGTCACCATTTTGGAGCTGAAGAAACCGTATCACTTTCAGGAGCTGAAGTAGACCAGGGGGACTGGTCTGAGTGCACACAGACCTCCTGTATCTCCCCTTGGATCAATGTATTTCACTCTCTTACTGTCTCCTCTAACTCCCTCACAAGCATGACTTCTACCAACTTCTGGGTGCACTGCACTGAAAAATTAATGTTATTAATTACTAGTGGGGTCTATATATCTGGGTCTTTATGGCTCTGCAAAAGCTATTGCCACCTTTGCCATGAATGCAGTCTTCACTCCTTCCCCTCTACTTTCTGCCTGTAGGCTTCCTACCAAAGTGCTGTCAATGACCTCTCTGAGTGTATCTGCCAGAATTTCAACCCATTAAATGTATGATAGCCTCTTATACTGTGGAAATGGTCATCCCGACATGCTTACCTTCAGGCTTGGTTTCTGCATAGCAGAGGCACATTCCCTGAATTTCAAATGGCAGGTCTTGAGCTTGTAGCTCCATGCCAACAAGGTAGACTTGTGGTTATCCCTCCCCTTTTGTTTACTTTAAAATTGGGCTTGTCTTTAAATGTTTATTATGATATTTATAATAATTTAGTCCGTAAAGCTAAAATATGTATAAATAATCCCACATACACCTTTTAGGAGCTTGAGTATTTTAACGCATGCATTTAAGGAGGGGCAAGAGTACAATGCTTTGGATGCTCTTTAAATCAGGTTATTTTCTTGATGATAAACTCAGAATCTAGAGATGTATAGAAATTCAAAGTCACTTTTCTTCATGCTTTTCTTTTCTGGTAGAGGGTTAAATATCAAAATACGTTAAAAGGTGTTTAATGGCTGAGTGCCTTGACCTTGTCTGGGACAGAAGCCAGTCTGGGACATTTGTTGGCTAGAGCTGTGCACCGTGAACATCTATAATGAGCTTGGCACTGCTGTTAATACAGCAGGTGTTTGTGTCTACCACCGTGGAAAGTGCCAGACCACACAATGAAGGCTAGTGAATAACATGCTGCTGGTAAATCTTTCTTTCATTGTGCAGATTTCTCTTTTAATTTGCTATATTATTCAGAAAACATCAAAGTCTTTTTATAGGTATTTTATTATATACACCATCATTTGCGCATGTCTTTAAAATGAGTATTCTTAATACAATAGAGGATTTCATGCTTTAAAAATTGGCAATGGATTCATGTGAGTTTGAACTGACTTATAAGGAAAATAAATCCATCATTTAGAAATTCTCACTATAAATCAGACTAAAGAAATTAAATCCTGTAGATAAATGTTTTGACTCAGTGTCTTCCCTGAAGGAGGAATAGGGTGATAATGTTTGTCTAGCGAATTGTGGGTTTTCTTGTGGTTACCCTAAATCAAGTTCACATGTTTGCACTGTTCGGTATTCTGTTTCCTTCCTATACCTACACGAGGACTTCACTCGGCATGCCTGGAGCAAATTAAAACCAAAGCACTTGCACAGGATGACTGTGACAATGCTTATGAGTAGGAAAGATTTGGAATTGCTTTGCCTGAGAGTATAATATGGTTCTCTAGTCAACTGTGGGACAAATTTTTATTTAACTGAATTGGGTAGCAACCTTTAATTTGGGAAAGCAACTTAAAGCTTTAAATTACCAACCAGTGAGAATGGATTAACTCTTGTTGATGAGAATGCCAAAAGCTAAACTGATGGGTAACACCTCTTCAATCCTTTTACATATAATATCTTACTTAAAAAGAAGGATATAACTATTCAAGAGCACAGACAAATGAAATTTAGGACAGTTGTAGAGTCAATGTGGCATGGATGACTACATGGGAATGAAAATCAGGAAAATTTGCTTGAATAAGTAGCACTGAGAAACTTAGATTTTAATATCAAGTGTCATACAAAAATAGGAACAAAAATGAATGCTATCACTTACCACATACCAAGAAATGTGAATGGATAAGCAGTATTTGCATTTTTTCATAATTCGTCTTCTATATTTTTGAAAGGATAACGCAAGAAGTGTGAAAAATGAATGAAAATTAAACATCCATTTTGATTATTACATGAATTATTTAAGATTATTAACAGATTTCAGTTGACACAATATTCTAACATCAAGCTTTAGCAAAGTTGACAAATTTTACAGAATTAATATACAGAATCTTAATATACAGTATCTCAGTATTTAAGTTAGAACTTTATTCATGCAGTGATGGCAGGGTATGATCTTACATGTTCTGTATAGGTCTTAACTTCTGAGCTTGTCCCACAGAACTCCATTCTGGAGCCTGCTCCTACCTGTCCTTTGTCATCTATAAGGCAGCTTAGACTGAGATCACCTGTTTCTGTTCTGGCACACTGGCTGGCATACTGTAGATAACATTACAATATGAGGCAAAGCAGAATAATCTCATCTGTGCTACATTTTGGACATCTTGAATGGGTATTTTCTTTAAGAATTCCTGAAGATTCTTTCTCAGACAGGATGACACTCTGCTAAAAGCTATAGAAAATGTTACCGCTGAAAGAAATACTCTTGCTTGTTAAGAGGAGATGAGTGGTTTCAGGGGGAGACATTACTGGGACAATTACACTAAACATGAGACGCTCCAGTTGTAATCAAGTGATTTGGAATATATTCAAAGGCCTAGGGCATTAATCCATAGAAAAAGAGGTTTCCTTAGTTCCATTATTCACAAATATTTTTCCCCTTAGGATGGTAAGATTCCAATGCAAATTTGGTTTATTGTGGTTTTGATATTTTTATTCCTGCATAGGTCTTTTGCAATATGGAAATTGCTGGAGGAGGATGGACGGTTATACAGCACCGAGAAGATGGGAGTCTGGATTTTCAGAAAAGCTGGAAGGAATACAAAATGGTAAGGTCTAAAATGTGGAATACCTGTACAGTTAATAGAAGTGTTAGATTTCAAATAATACTTGCTATTATCTTAAGCAGATAGTTCTGCCTATGGTGATATGGTGTGGTCCTGCAGCCTTTTATGATATTTGTCATATTCTTTTTACAAAATTAGTTATTTCCCATGATCTAGGGTTGCTTTCAGATCAATTACTGAGATTAAAATGGGGTCAAGCCCAGGCACATGCACTAAAGAATGTTGCTGTCTGTGCGTCTGAAGTTTTGACTTGCTGTGATGTTAGGGGTTAATAAGCATGTGATGAAGTTCCTAATGCATGGATGTTTTCACCTGAGGGGAACTCCTTTGGAACTTGGAGCACCTCAGATAGGAATGAAAGGTTTTACTGGGGTTTATCCCAAGTCATACAACACCTCTGCCAATCAAGCTAATATACTGGAAATGTTGATACTTCAAATAGGATTAAAAGAAAATAAATAACCTACCGAATTAGAGATGACATGACTTCAGCTGACTTTTCCCTTTGCCAATTCGAAAAAATTTTACTCCAATCTAAATAACTTCTGAGTTTTTTAATTTGCTGCCAGATCACACTTTCTGATGGAGCTCCTTTCTCTAAGTCCCTGAGGACTGGCTTGGATTTCAAGGACATTCCCAATGAAATTTTCAGAACTGTGTTATCAGCCTGGAAGAGGAAAATTTTTTTCCCAATAGTTTTCAAAAAACACTAAATGAAGAGATCATTTAACATGTTTAAAAATAAAAGTAAGTTCAGTTCAGTAAAAATTTCTATGGGAAAAAGTTCTGTTACAGAGTTTACCATTTCAGAAATAAGTGTAATATCAGCTCATTGAACCAAAATATAATTTTGGATTTTATGGATGTGTTCTTAATAATCTTCTTATATTACTTGAAAATAAAAATGATAGGGGTAAAAAGTAACGGTTTGGGTCAGACCTCTGCTACTGTAGAAGACTAGAGGATGTAATCTGTTTCATAATATATGTGAAGTAAAAATAATATTAAAATAACAAATAGATATTTTTTAACAGATTTGCAAAATTTGAATTTAATTTTAATTTTTTTTTTTTTTTTTTTAGAATTCATAGTTTTAATTTAGCAGAAAACTTGAAAACTCTTTTACTCTATTTTGCTTTAGAGTCAGAGAAAGTATTAAACATCGGTTTATTTTTGGGGAACCAAAATTGGAAGGTTATAGCACTTCTACTTATGAGGAAATTTGTATATGCAACTTAATTCGTTTTCTGCATATGGGCTGTTTTAATTTATACATACCATGTGAATTATTGAGATTTGCTCAATTTTTTTTTTTCTTCTGTGCTTTTTCTTAGACCATTTAATTAAAAAAGCCCTTCTTTTTAAAGTTTTCCCATGTGGCCTTTTTTCATATATATCCCTTCACTTAGTCAAACATTTTCCTCAAAATATCTTTTACAACAATGTGAGCCTGTTCAGGATTAGATTATGTTCATTTTGTCTAGCTCAAGTAGTCTGAATTAATTTTGCTTCTCTTTAGGAATACCATAGTCTTCTAAGACATCATTTACTTCTACCAAATAAAAAGGAACTGGTTTAGACTTTTACTGGTACATATCCTATAAGTAAGTCATGAGAAAAAGTGATATTTAGGCTTGTCTCTGCTTCTATGAACCATTTCACCAAAGTAACTAGGTTATGCCCTCCTCTGTGATTATATCACCAAATGTTGAAAGACAGAGGCTGGTGGATGCTCTGTGGATAGCTGGAATTAGTGACAGTGTCTGAGCTTCAAGGCAACAACACCACTGACTTAATTCCCTCATTGTTCAGAGAGGGTGTGCGGTGTCTATTGGATCACATCTCCTCTCCTTCATAACACAAATACTTTGTGTTTCGTCCAGTGGAAACCAGGTAGTGTGGTGAGGGACACAATGGTACTTGGTCTTACTTGGAGTGGTTCTACTTAATATGTGTTTTCCCAGCCCATAGTTCAGACACAGTTTTCCAGATTTGCTGACATTCTTTTTGTGCTTGTAGCTCACTAAGGCTCCAAATTACAGAAAAAAACAATATAATAATGATAATGTAATAACAATAATAAGTCATGGGGACTTCTTTTAGTTTCAGTGCATTCTTATTGGAAAAGAATCTGGAAAACTATTGAAGCTTCTGAGCTGAACAGGAACTCAGGCCACCAAACTGTGGCACTGCTAGTGCCCTAACAAGTTATTGGCTGTTCCAGATGTAGGAGGCCCTTGCACATTTTCTCCGACTCTAAGCTGAGATCCTTACAGCAAGTGACTTGGAAAGGGCGCACATTAAAGGAGTCACCTGTCAACGATGAGGCAATCATTGTCTTTGATTCAGTTTCATGATGGTGCCTTCAGCTTACATGGAAGTACTTCAATTCCTGTTCAGTATATTTTCCAGACACCAACAGAGGGAACAGGTTAAGACAGAGATAAAGTAGCCAGGAGATACAGAACTCCATCCATGCATAAATTGCCACAAAGTCAGTAATACTACAGGAATAGTGTTACTTTGTCTCCTTCTTTTGGCTTAATTTCCACTGGCATCCAATCTCCACTCTGGAAAACAAAGTTACATTTTCTTCAGTATGTAAAAGAATAGCTAATGAATACAAAAACTTTTATGCAGATTTGTTGTTAAGCAAGATTGGTTATGCCATCTTCTTCCTTAGTGACATATGTGCTTACTGGTATTGTTCAGCTTTGTTATTAGTTTTATGCTGTGCAGTGTAATTTGTGCCTTCGCTTCTAAGAACTCATTTCTGACTCTGAAATCTCTTGGGCCATTTCAGCTTTGTACCTTCAATACTAATTGTGAGAAATTCAGAGGAAACCCTGTGAGTTCATCCTTCTGTCCTTTTCTTATCAGTATCTACTGCATCTGTTCTTTCACAATATGAGATGGATTTTCCATTGTACTGTTTGTTGCTTATCAGAAAAATTTGAAGTGGAGCAACAAGTAATTTCTTTAACAACAACAGCTAGGATCACCCTGAAGGAGGTTTTAAAGATTTTTCGTATTTACTTGCCTGAGGAGTGAATGTAAAACACTATTAGAGTTTTGACCTCTAGAAGGAGAATATAGTTAAAAACCTCTTACCATGTGCAAACCTGTTCTGCTATAAGGAAGGGGGTTTCCACAAGCTTACTCTCTAAGATACAGTTTCTGGCATTTATTAGGCACTGATTAGCAACAATCAAACCCAAGTAAATTACTAGCTCATGTGCTAACTTGGCTATCAAGTCTTCTTGCTCAATTTCCAGCTTTTCAGTTTTGGATAAACACACCTTTCCCCGTTACTGTCTCCATTTTTGCCAAATTAAGTGATGGAGTATTGGATTCCCTATTCTTTAGCCTTTTAGCATGTCTAGTTTAATAATTCACATGAATTTCACAGAAATTATTCCACACTCAACAGCCTGATATTTGCTATCATTTTCCTAGTGGGGCTTCTTGGGGGTCAACTCTATTGGGGGCTTCCTCAGACCTTTAAAATTATTTTGTTGCTTTCTGTCATTTGAGAAAGACTCTCAATAGGTATTTGAAATTGCATGCCTTGGCTAGCCCACAACATTCCTTTTCCTAGACAGCTTTTTTTTTTTTTTTTTTGTATGTCAGTATTTAATTGTACTTCATGCCTTTATTGCTACAGTATTGTTATTTTCCTTTCTCTGATGAAAGCAAGCTATCACTTTTTTAATCATTCATAATGTCATGAGCTAGATTAGGATCACTTGTATATATTAGACTCACAGCTGAATTTCTAAGCTTTATGGCAACCATCTCCTATCTTCCTGACCAGCAGCTGGTTTTTCTTTTGGTTCTTTGAGGCAATAATGACATTCAGCAGTGAATTCAACATCCTCTTAATCTCATGTTCCTAATTAACATCTAAGAATCCAACACCAGTTCAATGCTTAAAACAAGTCTGCTGCCAATTTATCTCAGAAGACATCATTAGCATTTCTGTGTGCCTGTAAAGCACATCTACAAAACCATTTTAATTTCTGTTGGGGCTTCTTCTTTTTCTGTTCTTAAAGCTGTTGGGTTAAATTGATGGCTAGCTTCATAGTGCCAATATGGTACGATGCCAGAGCAGGATAATTTATGCTCTTGTGTGGCTTAAATTACGCGGCACACTGAGAGCCAGGCCACAGAGATGGATACTAGAACTTTCTCTGGAAGTATTTCTGGATGCAGTGCTAGTGGGCATTTACATTATGTTATCTGGAATAATCTGACTTTCTCTGAGACTCAGTAAATTTTAACTAGTATAACAAGTCTGGTGTTCTGTGTCTTCTGCTTACCTAAAAGACAGCTGAACACCTCTTTGGACTAGAAGTCTTTCATTTCCTTCTAGGCATGATGTTTCTTGCCCTTTTTGATATTCTTCCAACAATACATCTCTGTGAGTAAACTCTAGTTTGGACATAGGTCCCAACCATTTCCTGAAGACCTTAAAGTTTGTGACAGCCGGGTTGCTGGTGACCTAATGTTTTCACCTCACCAGTCCTTGCAAGTCCTGCAGACTGCATGTTGTGTATTTGGGCACCTAGATCTACTTGAATTATTCATACCAAGAGCTACCATTCCAGCAAATATTTTATTTCTTGGTACCATATTTCAGTTCATTCTGAACACTTCCAGATGTTACTTAAATTTTATTTGCAAGGTGTCCAGCTCGTGTTTTAGAATGTAATCTTCTAAATCCTTTTATGGTCTCCATTTGTTTTAAGTCTTATTTTAATTTATCTTGTGAAAGTTGCAGTTACAGATTTCAGTTATGTTATCACTCTTTCTGCCCACCTTTCCTGCCTCTAAACTCAGACATTTTTTTCTTCAATATTGTTTCAGTAGCAATACTAATTGCACTTTTTTTTTGGTTTTTTTTTTTTTTTTTTTTTCAATATAGGTCCTCACTACAGTTAACACTGTGTTTGACCTGGGCAAAGAGGCATAAAAGCTGTTTA